ACACAAATTATTGCAATAATATAAAATAATTTTTGGTCCCTGGAATAAAATATCAATCATATTAAATATTAAATATAATATGACCACTTATTGAATTATATGTATATCATAGGGTATATTAAATATATATTACAGACTATAAACAACAAAATTGATAAAAATAATAATATCGAATTAAATATTAAATATAATATGGCTATAATATTATTCATAATTATATATTAATAGCGTGCATAAAAAAATAACAAAATATTAGAATAATATAAAATGTATCGTGCCTAAAATAGAATATCTACTATATGTAATATTATGTATTAAATTTTATATAAACGCGGCATATTAAATGTATTGATATTACAAGCGTTTCGAACTGAAAAAGGCCGAGGGATGAGACAGTTCCTCTGGCTTCACGGGCACCTCCAAGTTTGCAACCACTGTCGGCCATCGTTCCGAATGACGGATTCGATTTTCGTCTCGTTAATTCCCATACATCTGTGCCCGTTAACACACAGTCGCTCCCATCGGCCAGAGGGAACTTTGAAAATAGTTGAAAACCCGTCATTCGAAATGCTGACGGCTAGGAAACTGGAAAATCTCCTACGGTCGGCGAAGCCCAGGTAAATCTACATTGCCGCGAAAAAATTCCAGATAATTAATCCGCGTTGTTCGCCGCTGTCTGCAACTTCTTCGCGAGTAGCAGCGTCTCGATATGTAAATTGTCGCGTCATAAAACTGGTCGACGACGACTGGAAAATTCACTATATTTCGCCGTCAAAATATACAGTAATTTCTCCCAAAATTCGTGCTCAGACAATTTAGATTTACCTCTCGTTTTTATTGATAATTTCGTTGACAATAGGTGTTACAGCTTTCCGCGTGCCGCGTCTTCGAACAATTTTTTCGACGATGATAAATTATACAGTAACAAAGTAGAGATTTCAGGCTTTAAAATGAGTTTAGTTTCGTCGTTCTACGATTTTTATTCGCGAAGTTACGGTATTTTGAATATCGTCGATGTTTCGGGGGTTGGAAATTTCGTGTGAAGTCTGAAACGAGGTTTCCCATTCACCGCGTCGCGAATAAATTTTTTTAAAGTAATCGACTGACAGCTTCCGAAAGTAGACACTTCGGGCTTTAAAATAAGCCAAGTTTCATTGTTGTATGATTTTTTTGCACGAAGTTATAGCTGTTCGAATATCAACAATTTGTTCGTGAATTTGGAACTTCGACGAAAGCAGTAGTAGATGGCTCGTTTTTCTAGTTAATTATTTTATAGTATAATCTGAGTACGAATTAGGGAGAAATTACTGTACCCCGTGATTTACTATAAACGAGATCATTTTTGACGTCGGTCAAAAATAAGAACGATTGGAATTCGTGTAACGCGACAACGCTGGAATTGAAATTGGACAAGAAACGTCGCATCGAATTCTCTTTCGAAATGAGAAATCACGGGGGAATATTTTTAAAAATTTAAGAAAAATTAGAAAAAACGATCGACGACGTCTCTCTCTCTCCCGGAATACCTAAACCGGAGAAATAAATGGAAATGATATACGTAGATCGAAATAAAAAGAGGATCCGTCGTCGTGAAAAATTCCGAAAAATTCATGCCGGAGCTAATTGGATTTTTGAGGACGATTAAAAAGGGATGAAGGACGGCCGTTCCGAAGGTCACAGTGAATAAGTAGCCGATAATTGCCGGTTCTCTTAACGCAGTAGTCAGACCGATCGTGTTATCTTCGTTAACGAAAAAAAGTGGGATCGGAATTTCCAGCAGCCCTGGCGGATCAACGGAATTAACGGTATCTGGTATTGGAAAAATTTAAATTCACGCCACCGAGTCCGCCATGAGACTACCTAACTGCATGAACGTACGTGCACCTTACAATAGGTGTACTGCGAGCCCTTGCTCGACCCATTAATTTAATAATTACACCGACAATTGAGTAAACAGCGAAAATAAATGGAATCGACCTAAAAATGAAAGAATATGCATATGTTATAATAAATATAATATTGTGCATGTATTATTATATAATAAATAATATGTACATTCGTCATCGCCATATGCTATAAACCTAAATAATAATACAGTATGATATATACACAGAAAATAATTTATCAATAACGTACGATATTATATAATTGATATATCAATCTATAGTAAAAAATATATCCATTAAGTGTAATATAATACATGCATGAATAATAATACAGTATAATGTATACACAGAAAATAATTTATTAATGACATGCGATTTTATAAAATCAATATATTATTAATATCAATATATATATATATATATATATATATATATATATATATATATATATATATAT